ACTAGGCCACAAACTTTTCTGAATCTACTTAGTTTTGACCTAGGCAACAAAAATACGTATTTTAAAAGTAACTAGAAATGGTATCTGTTTCCTGTGATAAGTAAAATAAAACTCACTCAAATTGTTTAACTTTCCTATGAAAATTAGCTGGTTCCTATTTACATGCATGTGTTTGCCCCCCAACATACACAATAAGAGTCTGTGTAAAGTATACTCAAACACTGATTGACCACTTAAATTGGATGCAGGAAAATTTAGTATTAAAAATATCACTCTAAAAGTATGTTGTTAGGGTCCGGGAAGATGGCTCAGTAGAATAAGCACTTGCCTGGCAAGCGCAAGGGCCTGAGTTCAATCCCTGGTTCTGGAAAAAAAATGACGTTATTTTCTTGATAATAAATAAGAAAATACACGTTTGTACTAGGAATAAATTAAGCTACAGATTGTGTGTTTTTTGAAATAATTTTTAGCTTGAATAAAACTAAATATTGTTGCACTTGTGTCAGTTTATTTGTTTTTATTTGTAAAATAATATGAAGTCTGTCTTACTAAAGAAAGTAATAGGAATTTAACAATGGTTACTGTATTATGTGATGCTATCTATGTATTTTGATGAAAAAATGCTTAAAATATTTATGTATTTATAAGCTTTTGGAGTACATATTACTTTCAAAGACAAAAAACTGTCTTAAATATACTGTGACTGAATTTTCAATAAAATGTAATTTGCTTGCAAAAAAATGTAATTTAAGGTTAAATGTCTTCCATTCAGAAGTACCGATGATTGAACTCAGGACCCTGTGCTTGTCAGGCAGGTACTTATTCTTCTGAGCTATCTGCCCAGCCCTTATTTATATTTTCTAAATGACCTTAAAGATACTTCTTTTTCTTCCACACCTACTCTCTCTTTGAAAATACAAATAAAAAGTCATAGTCAAATAATAACAAAGTAAATAGTATGATTTCATCACTAATACCTCATAGAATCAATGCTGATCTTTACAAAAAACATGCCAACTCCATCACTATGTTCCTTAACTATTTTATTTAAATAATTCAAAGTTTTAAACAGGAGATATTACCACATTTAAGTACAGTAGTGGTTCTATGTTCTGAAAAGGGATCATCTAAAACCAGTGCTCTCATGCTATGTTGTTAAAGATAGATTTCTATTAATGGGACCAATTGATAATTAAAAATAAGCAGCTGTGGTATGTGACCACTTCAGGGGTTTCTATTTCAATGTCTGATCCAACTTTCAATTGCAGTATCTGTACCTCTTTAACTCAGGATTTTTCAGAAACCCCAGAATACTAATAGCTGAAAAGAGTATTAATCTTCCCTGGGAGTATTCCTCAGTCAATGATTGGAATGATATCAAGAGCTGTGAAATTCTACCCATTTCAAGAGGTGTGTATTCTACTTATCTCCCAGATTTCTCCCAAGGAATTAAGTTTTAGTCATTCACTGTGGAAGATGTCTCCATAAAACACCACTTATTGATTTGCTTTCCATATGTATCACATACCTTGACTTCCCTACACCTATTTCTTCAAAACATGGAACAAATATACTGCTTAGGATTGAATTTTTATTTGCGGATCTGTTTATAAGGAAATACAAACCAAGATACATATTTACAATACAATTTCCAATTGTTTAATGATAATAATAGAGTGTTTTAGATGCAATTTACTTGTACACATATTGTCTGTTTATGTTTCTAATTATAAAAGGGGAAGTTAAATAAAAATATAGTATAAAGTATATAGTACTATGCATAGGTGTACAGTGATAATGTTGTGTAACTATAAAGATAAAACATCACAGGCTTCATCTTGAACAATTATCATAGTTTTCACTATTTAAAAATCTGACAGTTATTGTGTTCACTATGGAACTCTTTTTGAGTAGCACTGTTCGATAGAACAGTATGAAAAAGTTCATTTTTGTCACTTAAAGCCAGTGCCAGTTGCCTTGTTTACTAATTGGGAAAGAGCTTTTAAATCATTGTAAATGTGATTAAACTTAATGGAAAATTATGAAGCTTGCTAACATGATGGCTGTGGCTTCTTTGAGCTAATATTTTTAATTAAATTGTTCTTACAAATTGCACTTTTTATTTCCAAGTAAAGCACAATGAACGTCATATGTAGCCAATAGTCAGTATTTTTCTAGAAAAAATAATAAATATGATGTAAATAATAATTTTCATTTAGAAAATAATATAATTTTAAAAGTTTTCTTCCAGATTATCAAGGGAACCAATATAAAGTGGAAATTAAGAACTGGAATTTGAAGTCAAGTGGTTCTTTACAGCAGTACTTTTCAAGTCATTTTATTTCATATGTACAGTAGATCTTATGAATCTCAAGAGTATAATACTTAGATTAATAAAGTTTCAAATTGTACACAAAACATGATTTTATTCATATAGTATTCTATAAATCAGATAACTAAAAAATACAGAGAAAACGTTAGTATTTGTCATGGGTAGGGAAGGAATTACAGTGTTAGGTGTATCTACAAAGTATAAGCGTAAGGTAATTCTGCCTTAGTTGAAAAATTCTATATTTTGCTTTGGTTTTAGTTACATACTACTTATATATAGGTTCAAATTGTTCAGAAGCACACAAATGTAAAACTATTGAACACAGAGTAAAGTCCCTATTTAACAGTATTTTATCAATAGCTAATTCCTTGTTTTGATATTCTATTATAGATATATAAGATGCCATCATTGTGGAAATTTGAGGAAAGACATTACAGGACTCAAAAGCATTAATTTTGCAGCTTTCCACAGTGATACATGCATAATCATGTACACAGCAACATAACTCATACTTGCTACATCTTAGAATCACCCTATATGTATGTTAACAGATGAACAGATGGATATACTGTGGTATTTTACATACACTGGAGTACTACTCCGCCATAAAGATAAAATTGAGTCTATGAAAATGGATGCAAATTGTATTGTAGGAAAATGAATGCACCATGAGAACATAATGTTAATGAAATAAATCAGATACATACACAAACTTAAATGTTGCATGGTTTATTTTATATGAGAAATCCAAAATATATGTAAAGAGCAAAATAAAAGAAAATAGATGTAGGGAGATAAATCTTTCTCAAATGGGAATGGAATCAAGACATGGATGGAATGGGATAGAAGGGAGGGGAAGAGGATGAAAATACAATTAAGATGTGTTATGTACATGAACCACTTTTATACAAGGAATATAAACCATATTAGTGCAAATATATACTAATAAAATAATTAATATATGAGATTAAACAGTCAGTGTGAAGTTTCCACAATAGATGAATATTTTGTTTCTTATATTTTGGAATTATTTTGAAGATCAGATATTTGTACCATGATTGTGATTTTTATCATTTAGTGATTAGTAGAAAATATTTGCAAATAATCCAATGTCTGGAGCTCTCTTTAAAGTAATGTGGAATGTGAGGAAAGGACTGTTATACAGACAAAGCATGAGATAATTAATATTATGCCCAATCCTGCTGTGTCTGTATACCACTTCTTTCCCCAACTTCCAACCAGATTATGGGTTTCTTTGCACATGTGTGGAATTTTCCATAATCTAATTAAATCGACAAAATAATCTATTACACAGATTTCAATCTCAGATTCATCCTCACATGTTTATCAAGTTGTATCAATTCAGACTAACTGAATGTCACAGTTTTTGATGATACCATATGCTTTCACATAAAACCTTCGATTATGCCATCAGCAATTTAATTGTTGTATGCACAGAAGCCAGGCATATATTTTGTTGGCCTGCTAACTAGTTAATTTTGAATATATCTAATCTATATTCCATAAAATGGATGTCATTTCAATTTCCAAATCTTTTAAAAGCCTTTTAATCCCTTTCAAGTAAGCAAGCAAATGTAAGATCAGTTCAGGTAATGAGACACATGCAGCCAGGCAGGGGCATTATCTTCTTGTTACATAGGTTATACAGACTCTTAGAGAAAAACTAAAAATAATTTTCTCAGACAATATTCAAAACTGTATTGTTTCTGTTTATTAAGCTAATAAAACTTCATGCCCATGGAATTACTCAATTGTTGTATGACATAAAGTTTTAGAAACCATTTTGGCACCAGGAGTTCATTTTGTGCCTGCACTACTAAAAACAAAAGTAGGAATATATGCATCTTCTAAATTAGAAGGTTATTTTTTAGCTTAAAATTTATTTTTGTTTCTTTTTAAAAATTGAGGCAGGGTCTTACTGTGTAGTGTAGGCTGGTTTTGAACTCACTGTGTAGGTCTTTCTAGCCTTCAACTTATGGTGAACCTTCTGCCTCAGTCTCCGAAGCGCTGAGATTACAGGTATGTGCCACCATGGCCAGCTCTAGCCTAAAATTTCCTACTATAAATATATGCAAATTTTTAAAGAGAAATTTTCTTTATCAGATAAGTTTTAAAATCTTTTTGCCATTTACCTTAAGTTAAATAAATGATCACTTTAACAATCTTTTGTATAAATGATGTCTTTTACATCATAGGTTTTCTGTTGAACCTTTAGTTTACCTATTTAATTTCCTCCATTTTAATTTTCACCATTTTTATGATATCCTATGCCAAATTAAAGGGTTCAAATCTCTCTTTAAAAACAACAAACTTCAAAGTCCTTGAATGGGTATATTATTTAAAATGATATGTGACTATGCAAATCACTCTATGGTCATTGTCTTTTCCATAGTTCCTTAATATGCAAAGGAACTAATTCCTTATTTTCCCTTGTGATTGACAAAATTTTCGTAATGTTTCATGTATACATTATTTTGATGTACACAAGGAAACTAAAACAAAATACAGGAGTAGAAATGAGTTGATTTTTGAAAGGCAATATTGTTATTCTTCACCTGTGATCCTTGGGAGAAACACTTCCTCTTTAGTACATTTAGTGCTTTTAGTGACAGCAAGAACACTTGAATATTGCCCCTGTGAAACTCACCTCTATTACTAGTGTTGCTTTGTACTTCTTACTGTACATTTTCGGTTTAAATCCCACAGTGATGAGAATTCCTTTACTGTGAGAAGGAGGAAGGTCTCCAGCCTCAGGCTTTACAAAAATCTCTGGATCACTTCCAGGTAGGAAGTAGGCAGTGAATTTTTGAGGGTATCTGGAACAGAAGTGTGAATATCAGCCAGTTAGATTTTATCATGACCTCATTCATTTTGTGAAAACATGATGAATAGAATTTGAATCCTGCCATAGTTGGCCTACAAAAAACCATAATGCTGAATTCTTACACAATGAAACACATTTTTAAAACTACTGAGATGGGACTCTTAGCAGGATGATAGTATCTTGAAGATTATTTTCAACCACATCTTATATTTATAGTGCACCAAGAAAAAATACATGCCTTTATAAAACTTGGCATGAATGAAAATTATTTATAAATAGATCACAATGCAAAAAACTGACTAATTCTATTAAAATACTTTGTTTGTGCCACTGTCTCATTATGATATATTTGTATTCTTCTTTAGCTTTTCATTTACTAAATGAAACGAAAACACTTTTCAGTCTCATATAAATTTATTATGGCTAAAGATGTGTTACTATGATATGAAATAACCTGAATGACATGGAATCTTTTTTGAGATGAAGATTGTGAAAGAAGTTGAGGAAATGTTTGGTAGGGGAAAAATGGATAGAAGTCAATGCTTGAGCAGTTGACAGGGAAAATCAAATCAAAATTGAGGGGGGAGATTTCATGTAAAAGGGCAAATATGGCTTCTGAAAACAGATGCAAGTGTGTAATAAGGAAGATTCACATTAGAACTCAGTAACCAGTCAACAAATATATACTGAGTATCATGGTGGGAGATATGAAAATATGATTTATGGATAGCCTGGATTACAATCAACCCAGTGCATAAATTTGGCAAATCTACTTATTCTGCCCATGCTTCAGCTTTATTATGTGTTACATTAAGTTAATAACAGTAGTTAAGTCATTATATCAATTCCTGACACATGGCAAATGCTTTGTATTAGCAAGTATTTCTTTAGTATGATTATCATTATTCATGTTTCAAAATATTACTGGTGATATGAAATAATGAATCAGTCTATAAATGAGAAATGAATAAGACAGTGTCTAATCAACAAAATTACAAAATAGCAACTCATAGGTCCTCATTCTCTCAGTGGAGATGCCAATTCAGAAAAATTCCCTTAGCAAGAAGATAATAGCAGCTAGATAACAGCATGTCTACTATAGCTCATCAAGAAATAAGCCACACAGAATTCAGTAGGAAAATTCTTGGCACATTTCTGCAATTTTTTATTCCCTGGAAAAAGAAGTCCCTTCTGGCTTGTGTCTGAAAAATAAGAGTAAGCACACAAAGTGGATAGTTTCCCATAAGAACTGGTTTATGTCTTGCTCTTATCAAACTGCTGACAGAATTTATCATCTTGTAGATTTGGGGGACTACTGAGATTCAAACATAAGTCTGGGAGCTGAAAAATACATTCAGTGCTTTGAAAAATGCAATACAGAGAGACAGTAGTAGAGTGGATCAAATCAAAGAAAGAATCCTCAAAGTTTAAGAGCGAACATTTAAAAATGACTGGTTGGAAGTGGGGAAAAGAAGAAATCATATTTCTATAAAGTGAATGCAGTTGGTAGAATATTGTTAAAAAAGCTAACATGGGAAGGTAACATTAGTAAGATAATGTAGTTTGAGATCCAAACCTTTTATTCTTCCACAAAGAGAAACAATTTGTGAGAACTATGATTTGTTTGATGCTCTGGTCTGTTTCCTTCAGAATTCCTGTTGAAATTTAATCACTAATGAAGCAGTGATTTTGGTAGGGCCTAATGGGAAAGTATTAGATCATGAGAAAAGAGACCTCAAAAATGGATTAATGTGGATTGAGAGAGCTTTTTTACCATGGTGGCACCAAAGGCCAAGAAGGAAATCCCTGCCCCTCCCAAAACTGAAGCCAAAGCAAAAACCTTTGAAGGGCAAGAAGGTTGTGTTGAAAGGCATCCACAGCCAGAAAAAGAAGATATGAACGTCACTCACCTTCCACTGTCCCAAGACACTGTGGCTCCGGAGGCAGCCCAAATACCCTTGGAAGAGCGTAAATTGACAAGTAATGTCTGTGACTCATCCACATGGCTGACACTGATAAAGGATCTACAAACTGGCACAAGGTTTCAGGATAAATCCTGAGGGAATTTGACTGACGTCAGATACAAAAGTTACATTTCTTGTTATATTGGTCTTGCTTTATCTTGGTCTTAACCATCCAGCAGAAAAGTATAAAAACGAAGTATAAAATGCAAAGCCATATTAGTATGCTAAGCTGTAAAAGGCTCAAGTCAACAATTTCTGACATTGTTAGTCTTATGGATAACTTACTCCTATTATGGACTACTGCACTTTATTGGATTATTTTGGTGAATGCATGCACCTTCAATATGTAAATGACAATGGAATAACCTTCTGTAACAAAACTAAACAAAAAAGGGGATACAAATGATGGATCATTCTGTATCTGTATATTTAAAATATCTTTTTTATTTTTTATTTATTTG